TGCCTGCCCCCACATTCCGCAATCTTCCCCCCACTAGTCCTCGCCCCATCCCAACTTACCTTAGATTGGATGGCCATTTAACATGATCTAACCTTCCCCGTAACCCAATCTGCTCCTACTGACCAGATGTTTCAAAACTGGACTGTACCATAGACATTGACATTAGACATCAGGGCTGGAAGGGATCTCGTAAGAGCATCGGGTCTAGCCGAATTGGTATTAGGTTCCAAATTTCTTGCCTAAAAATTATTTGTAATTGGCTTAGGACCATCTGTTCGTGGGCCAACATTGTTCTTTAGTTTAGATGGTACTTTTCACTGCTGTGTTTACCACCACTCCTCCCATTACATTTGCACACAGCAAATCACAGTCCCTCTAAGTCTTTGCTTTGGTCAGCTAAACAACTGAAATCTCACTTTGTAAGAGAAGATGACAGGAAAATGGAGAGCCTAACAGCCTTCTTTGTACTTGTTCCTCCTGCAGATGATTCTCTTAACCCCGATTCACATGCACATATTTTTTGTCTTCAAATGGCTGAGAAACATGAAGTTCACAATTAGGCTGTCTAATATAATCTGCCTACCTCTTTAAAAGTGCATTTAAATTGCTCTAGGTCTAACTGGCCTGAAAAAAAATATGAAGCAGCAAAAATAGCTGAAACAAAAAAAATGATTGCAGTAAGAAACGCTATTATGAATCAGAGATAAAAGTGATACAGGAAAAAGAGCTCAATTATAAACAGAATTTTTTAAATCCCTAATAGGTCTTTGCTAAATATTTTCTCCTAATACCTCACTATGTAGCACACAAGATTTCTAATGTTTTACCTAACTCAACATAAGAGCAATAAAATTTGAAAGCCATTAGGAATTCTTACATGTCCCTCCCTTCTAATAGTATCATGTCAATGTTCTAAGCAAACTGTAGAGTATTAAGTATTAATAAGTCCTTGTTTCTTGCATGAATTCTCTGAAGTTTGCAATTGAGATTTTTCAAAACACTTGGTTACATAACACTAATTTCTGAGGAATGAGTGATTAAATTGTGAGAAGAAAAGTATAGTACAGTACTTGAACAAACATTTGCTAGTGTTCCAATTAAGATCATTCAGATTTTTAACAACCTTTAACATCTGAAGCCTGCAGAAAAGTAGCATGAAGATTAATTCTCCCTCATTTCTTTTCTATGAAAAAAGTTATTTTTATTGGACCATTTTATAAAAATTGACTTCCAAGTTATATAGTAACCAACTTACATGGAGATTCATTTTTACTGTGAACCAGACTTCAGCTCTCTCAAATGGCATTTACTTTTATCTTAAAACATTCTATTTACATATAAAACAGACTAAGTACTAAAGACTAAAAGTATTAGTTCCTCTAGTTCAGTTTCTTTCACGTCATGCAATTTAACAAAGAATATTAAAAGGTGGAGCATTACATTGAAAAAACAAAAAGGGAAAAAGTGTGGTTTCAATATAGCTAACTTTCTAAAATACATTTGTTCCCAAGCAGCCAAGAACACTGTTCAAATGCTCATAAAATTTGTCTAACAAAAAATTAAGTTTATGCCTGTATATATTTCTGCATACTGCCCATTCTTCCTTTTTTTTTTTCCCTGAAACAATGTTTTACACTGATTGCACTCCTACAAAGAGGACCTGTGCATCTTCTCTGGATAAGCCAATAAACTGTTAATTGTAAAGTTATTAATTTGACAATATTGTATATTCCTGATCAAGCGCCTCAAAATTTTCTGTGCAATAAAACTGTACTTTTAGATCCGTTTCCCCATTAACAATAGGGCTAAGTACAGACAGTCAAAAAGCCCAAGGCTGAATCAATTCAGTCTTTGCAGGTTTTTGTAAACTGTCTAGATCGAATCGGTAAGACAGTGAACTGATGTTCACATTTCAAACCCAAAAGTCATCCACACACCTGCTGTGCTCCATACCAGGAATTGAGGGGCACTAGAGCATGCCTCCCAGCCTGCTGGCCACTGCAGAGAACTGGGAGATGGGCGATTCCTCCCGCCATGCCCCATCTTCAGCCTGCAGCCATTAGAGGAGGGGTGTGGGGGGAAGTGACCCCTACTCAACCCCCAGCCAGGGTCTCCCCAGAGATGGGGAAGCCCCCACCGAGGCATTTCTCCCTTTCTCCATCATGCCCAGAGTTGGTTCCCTTAGCCATGCTCCCTCCTCAGTCCAGGCCATCCGAGGAAGAAATATTGGGGGGG